TGATTATCTTAATTATATTTTAGATTTTTTATATTTAAAATGAGATGTTTATCCTGTATTTGATTATGTTTATCTGCAGTTAGTTACACGAATTCAAATATGGAGTTTTAATAAGTTGTCTTACGCACAATCTACTTGTAATCTTGAGTTTTAATTAATATGTATAAATAAACAGTACTTCGCATAAAAAAATGATTTTTAAAAGTTTTTGTCAAATGATTTATAATATAGTATAGATATAAATATTCCTCTTTTCAAGATCAAAATTTAAGATTTCTTCAAATTTTAAAATGTTTGTTCTAATATAATTGTCAGATATATTTTAACAGATTATTTTTTAAATAGATGTGACATTTATATTGTATTTTGGATCAACCAAGGAAGATAAACTGCAAAACCGAAGAGAAAATGTTATGTATGATCAAAATAAGTAACACAATATCTTTTGATAGGTATATTTTAAATATTTTTTACATAATTTATATGTTTAATACATTTTCTTAATAGAAATAAAAAATAACTTGTGAAAGACGATTTATTTATTTCAAATAATAATTATTGAAAAAAATAAAGTTTGAAAAAACTCAATATTATCTTTTTAAAAATGTGTGTATATATATATATATATATATATATATATACTAGAAGAAAACTCACACAATACAGCGAGATACATCTTAATTTTAATATTTCATTTTATTTTTTATCTCAGTCGATGTTATAATATGATCTTATATGATTTTGAAAAAGCGATTATGTTTTTTTTGAATAAAATATAAAGTTGAAAATATCATAAAAATTTGACAAAAATATATCAATATTAGTTACAAATTAACAATTTAAAAATTCCTATTTTTTATTCAATTTTTTTATTATAATTTAATTTAGGTTCAATAACGAAGAAATTTATATGTAGTTTAATAATATAATTTTCTTATAAAGATAATAATTAATTATTTTGTTAGAACTCGATAATTATTTTAATTATATTTTAGATTTTTTATATTTTAAAATGAGATATTTACTATTTGATTATGTTCATCTGCAGCTAGTTACACGAATTCAAACATGGAGCTTTAATAAGTTGTTATTATGCATAATTTACTTGTAATCTTGAATTTTAAGTAACATGCATCAATATACAGTAATTCATGCATAAAAATGATTTTTAAATTTTTTTTTGTTAAATGTTTTATAATATAGTATGTTTTTGTGTGTGTGTGTGTGTGTATATATATATATATAGAGAGAGAGAGAGAGAGAGAGAGAGAGGTTCGAACGAGAACGCTAAGTATTTAAAAGAATAAGAAAAAAAGTTGTTAATGTACAAAATCACATGTGATTTTATATTAACATAAAAAAATGGAAGCGGACAACTTTTGAACCTGTATGATTATATATATATATATATATATATATATATATATGTATGTATGTATGTATAGGGGTGGGTTCAAATCAAAACCACTCAATTTGTAAAAACCGTGAAAACTTCATTCAACCAATCATAATTTTTTATTTTGTTCATTTTTTTTGTAATTATGAGAGGTTGATTAACCATTTTTATTGTGGAGGGTGTTAATAATGGATATTATCATCTTCATTATTTTAATTTTAGAGAAATACATGAAGCAGTTTCATTAAAAATTCATTAAGTAGTATATGAAACAATTTCATAACCACATATGAAACAACTTCATCAAAAAAAAAATATTATATGAAACAATTTCACAAGATTAACAATTTCATGAAAAAATTTCATAAGATTAACGATGGATGATAATAGTTTTTACGGTTTTTACAAATTGGAGTTGTTTTCATTTGATCGATCCTCTATATGTATATGTATATATATATTCAATTAAAACAAATAAATTTAGTGTCACTTGTTCTCTTTAATTTTACAGCGTGTTGTTCTTGGATTTTTTTTGGTCTTTGTAACTTTTAAGGTATCATCCAAATTGGCCTTAAAAGTGAGAGATTAAACTCAATTGAAAATAATATTTAAATAATAAAACAATTAACAAACAAAAAAAATAAATTTCTTAAATATCAAATGATTTTTGTTGCAGACTGACCGCAATATCAAAAAATGATGACTCGACTACACAGAGTACATGCGCAACTGGATCACGTCACAACACCTCTACTAAAACATTAAACTACTAGTTTTCTAAAAATATTTTTTTTAATATTTAACTAAGGAGCCGTTTGCCTAAATGTTTACCCGGTAAGCGTTTATCATTAGAAGCTAACATTATAATCTATTTTACCAAGGAAGATTGTAGTACATCAAAACGTATTTTGTGTAACAATTTACCTGATAAACGCTTACCCGGGTAAGAGTTGTCACTCTCACTTACCGGGTAAGACTCTTCATCCTTATCATCGCTCTTACCGGGTAAGATTTTGCCCCTTGCCATGTTCATCCGGTGAGGAAAATTTTCCAATAAGTACTTACCGGATAAGCATTTAGTAAACAGCCCCTAAATAACCTTTCCACAATGAAATTCACATAAAACCGTCAATGTTTTTAAAACAAACTTTTGTTTCATAATATGATTATTTTTAATATTTTAACTGTTGTATTTTCTGTTACATATTATGAAACAAGAATTCACATGTATTTCTTTCGTAATATGAAACACACATGATTAGTGGTTCTTAACCTTTTGTAGTTCTTATTTGGTTACGCACATGATCATGGTCAAAAAGTCAATCACTACACCTAAGAAGTATGATTTGAATTATTTAGTTACCAATAATGTCTTCATCTATGTTGTTTGCCACTGAACCAATGTGATAATATCTTCATGTTAAAGAGTAGAGATTGGGGGGCGATCTCATCATCTTTGATATCGACCTCCAAATGTACACACCGAAAGAAGAGACACGTCGCAAGATGATGTCAATACGATTGATGATGGTTTGAAACTGTAAATATGTACAACACCCGGTCAAAAGAGATATGAGTGAGCATAATGTATCTGTATCTATCAACCATAAGATAAACGTTCATCATATCATCTTACTCGTGTCTTGTAAACCCTAAATTGATTCGTAACATCGATAAAAGATAAAGTTTTCACAAAACAACAATGGATTTATACGAACACAAATGAAAGCTTTGAAAGAAGAAAAAGGTTTCCTTGTTCTTAGGCTTTTTCCTCTTGTCCCTAGAATATAATACTTGTTGGTTTCTTTCTCCTTTTAATCATGAACCCCTCCTTATCATCATTACACTTCTTGACATTAACCCCCTCTCTCTCCATACATATATACACATATATATACATATACGTGAAACAAACACATCATAAAACAAATATATGTTAATCATTACATTAAATTCTAGCCATAAATGAAAAAAAATAATCATATAAAATAACACATAATGCACTGGTTCTAAAAAATATCAGAAAAAATGAGGGTATCCTTGTATTGTGTGAAGGTTTATCTTGAAAATTGTGAAGATACTTTTATGCCGAGTATAGTGTAACATTTCTATACATAGTTGAATGTGATACGAAAGTTACAATCTTTATATAATATAACATAACATTCGCATAGCATACAGACATCTTCAATTGTTCTCACCTTATCAAGAAAGTGTAAAAAATTCACATCATCCTCACTCACTCACTCTCCCTCCCCCCCCCCCTCTCTCCTCTACATATATAAGTGTGTATGTATATATACATATATATATGTGTGTGTGTGTGTCATGTTTAGAAACCAAACCACCTGTTTATAAGAGGATCTAGCAACCCACAGCTTGCTTCTTACTCATTCAATACAAAGACAGAGTACTCAAAAGCCAAGTGAAAATGTGTACCACCAATAACATAGAATGCATGTCACCACCTTCTTCTCTCCATTTCCTTACCCAAAAAACAAAATCAAAGCAAGCTAGGTTTCGGATTCGGATTCAGGTTCGAATTCAAAGGCTCAACAGGTACATGTTATATGTTTCTTTTGAGGGTCTCATTTACGTTTATCTTCTTTGTCTCCAAAACAAAGAATCGTGTTTCATTCGGGCTTTCTTTCTTTCTTTTCGTGTTTCAGGGTTAACAAGTTTATCGAAGAAAGAATGAAACACGAGATGGAGTTACAGAACTTGAAGTTGTACATGGAGAACTTGAGTATCTTGAAAGAGAACGAGATGTTACGGAACAAAGCCACCCAGCTCCATCAAGAAAATCTTGAACTATTATCCATTTTCGACAAGAAAAGGTTCAAACTTTGATCTTTTCTCGAGTACCCTTTTCGTTCACGATCATCATGGTACACGGGCAACCCTCGGACTCAAGATAACGAGTCTTTTTTCCCTAATCTATTTGCTAGAATGAATTATTGATTATCAAATGAAGAGTAGTGGTACAAAGTTAGAATTGAGTTAATTTATCTCGAGTTCAACAAAGTCGTGTTGTATGCAATGTGAGGTTGTACTCCATGCTTACATTTTTGTACCATTTTTTAATATGACTATGCTCCAAAGTTGATGTAAGTTAGGTTTAATAATATTTTGATGGACATGACTTTAAAAAAGTCAACCCTCGAGCCACTAATGGTTGGAATATTATGAAGCTTCTTAGCACGTGTGAGAATATAAAAACCACAACTTCAGGCAACAAGATTTAACCCAAGACCCTTGATTCAACGAAAACATATCTCTGTTCTACGGTCATCATGAAAAGGTAAAATGTGTGTCTCGAGAGACGGGCGGGTATTGCATGAGTTGTATCCTAGAACTGTCACTCATTTTATAAGGATGTCCACCTTCTTACCTGTTAGGCTAAAGCCATAAAAACATCAATAACATGTGTTAATATTAAGGGTAAGATATTGTAAATGGTTATTGGCTATTTGGAAGTGGCTTAATTGAGTGTATGACCTAAATCATTAAGCTCCCCCTACAAGGCTGAATGAATAAACCAATTGTTGAGTGAATAAGCCACTTCCAAAACCCTAATCGATTCAACTCATTTATTCCATCCCTACTCTTCGAGAAAAGATCTTGCTCTCCCTAATCAAAACACGCCCCCTCCCTAAAACGAGAACAACCCAGCCTGCTGCTTCGTCGTTAGCATGTTCTTCTTTTAAGAAATTTGTCTAATTAGCAATACGTTGTTATTCTTTAACAAATTTGATTAGTTAATAATGTCTGAATTCCCATGATAAAATCAACCAGACAATTTGATTACCATGGTCGTTCAAAATTTACCACTTACATATAATAAGAATCATATTATTAAACCAAAGCAACCCAATATATCCCACTCAGGGTTTGATCCGGGGATGGATGTGAGCGCATTTGACCTCTACTCCAAACCATAAAACAGATGTTTTAGTTAAGACCTCAAAAATCCTATTACTATACTACAATTATTCTAGTACGTGCGATTCCCTATCCTAATTTAAAGAAACTTAACCACAAGAGTGGTGCCTGGTTGGTTTGAGCTTGACTCCAAAGGTCAAAAGTACCTGGAGGTTTCAGGTTCAAATCGAGGGAGGAATAAAAATCCCCTTGTGGCCACGGAGGTTCAAATGCGGTCACTCCGGGCTATGTGCAAAGCAGTTGGTCGTCCTGGAATTAGTCGGCTGGCATAGCAGGTTGGATATCCAGGTTAATAAAAAAAAACTTAATACTAGAGATTAAAGAAAAAGTCAAAATGTTGGGTTATAATATCATACAATAAAGTCTTTGGGTTTGAGGTGTAAAGTAATGTAGTAGGAAGTAGGAACGACCATCCCAAGGCTTTGACCTTAAATTTCTACTTTCATGGAAAGTAGAACCTAACTCTTGTTTCAACATATCTAATCATATTTATATTCTAGTTGGGTATAAATTTTTATGAAAATTAATTCAATTTTTAATTAAAACAAGAATCTATATATAAGTTTAAATAAAATAAAGATTATAATTATTTGTAATAGGTGTCTAAAGGGTTGTTTGTTTGTTTGTTTTTTGATTATTAAGTTGTCTGTATGAATTAAAACTAAATTGTTTTTTATTGTTGTATTAAATAAATAGTCTAAATGATATAAGTAACTATTTTAAAAACAAAGAAGCCTATCTTTTTAAAGTATAGAATATTTATATACCGGCAAATTAAACTCACAAAACACTTATCACTAGATCTTGGAGTGTTTTGAAGACCTTGGCACTCGTTTAGAGACATTGGTTATCGTTTGGAGCATTTGAAGACATAGGTGCTCTTACGGAGCTTTGCTCAGTCTGTTGGAGGATCTTGGATCTGGATCCCCTAGTTTGATTATCCATCAAGTATATATGTTCAAAGTGGAGTTCAAGCTTATCTTCGCGTTTGAGATCAGCAAGTTGTTTAATATCAATGTGGAGTGTTAAAGAAAGTGATAAGACACAACAAACCAACAGAAACCGGAAACAAGCAACCACGGCCGTCCACAAGGAGCCTTCTGCAGACGTCCGCAGACTTTTAAAATTCCGTCCAGACATCTGCCCCCGTTCCACAAATCCAACAGAAGCATTTTGTAAAGTGGCACCAATGGTGTTGCACAAAGGGCACTATCCTCTCGTACCATAAATACGAAAATCCTTGTTTTTTTTGCATTCGAACTATGTTGTGATTCCTTGGGGTTGTTATATAAATACAACCTTTATGTTCTCTTCGACTAATAAAGATCCTTCGTTTTCATCTTGTTTGTTTTTCAATCCAAGTTTGTTCAGCATCGTTTGTTGGTAAAGATTGTACCTTTGTCATTGTTTTTGCCTAAAAGTGAACAACTTTATCATTTGGGATCATGTGGTGGTATAAACCCAACAAAATGTTCCTAGAATAATTTTATCCAAGCCGTATAACATCGAGTATGACTTTAGCTAACTAAAGGAACTTAAAAAAGGTAAGAAACAAGAACTTTGTGTTCCTAAAAGTCATCAACGTTCAAGATCAAGATATGTCCTGTTGGGCTTGTGCAGAGTAATTTGAAACTTCCTAACTAGGGTGTGTCAATGGAGGGGTAGCAAAGAATTTAATCCCAGGGTCCTCGAGAAAATCCAAAAACAAAGAAACGTCTAATTCTCTTGATATATATAACCCTGCCATTATAATCTACAATATATATTTATACTAAGGGACTTTCTTGATTCATAGTTTCTAATTATCTGATGATAACGAAGATTGGTCAAAGTCAAAGGTAAAGCCCATGAACACAGTTTGCCTAGACCAGTTTGAGTAAATCTGTAAATGCATACAGATTTTCTTCAAGTCAAACTAATTCAAAAATAACCAACACAATATATATATATATATATATATATATCAGTACAATTTTATAGCATTAGCAACTGTACCCTTTAACAGTTATAATCACAAGAAGGTTTGGAGAATAGCCATAAAGAAAACCAAATGTCTTGTTTCAGTGTCACTCTTTTGGCTAATCTATATATGCAACTCATGTTGACGGATAAATTGGTTAGAAGATGATGAGATTAAGAAAAAGTTACCTTACAGATTGAAAGATGGAAGGAGAAAACTGCTGCCGGAACTAGGAACAGATGCTTATGCATCAGTGGAGCGCTCTTGTGATGATTTATAGATTCGATACGCAGCTATGCACATTGTAGCATTGCCAATAAACGTCAATGCCCCTTGGAGAGCAACTAAAACCTATAATATGGGTCGGGTTAAGATCCTTCTTTAAAAAATGATGAAAAAATTCAAGATTTGCTTTCTACTCAGAACAATTTGAACATAGCGAATCATATAGAAACATCCCATAGAAACCGCAACTTCTTTTTTAATTTGATTAAAATGAATAGTCAATTTACCTCCAGGGATTCCGCGTTATAAAAGAAATGCCAAGTACAGGCACAAAATGCTCCGCCTAGCAGGGGTACCTGAAGCAATTAGCTCATCATGTGTATATCATATAACCATATGCCCTTTAAACAGACAAGTAACAATGCCCAAATCTCGATTCCCATTTCTGTATTTTGTTAAGAATTATAGCAACACAAACAATTATGCTTCTCTAAAGATAACAAAGACAATTTCTTGTAGAGGACTACAGTCAGCTACTTAATATAATTACGATCAAAGCACGAGAAATGCAAGAGAATGGGAACACAAAACAAGTGAACTAAACGTAGACGAAGGGATCTGTAACTCACCATACCCCAAGAAAGCCCCTTCCAAGATTGATATCCAGATGCCTCCCCATATTGCCATACTAAAATCATTGCTGTCACCCTTCCAAATTTGACAAAAATAAACAAGTAATCAGTAAGCACAACCAGAAACCAAGAACATACACTAAAACACAGATCGAGTTACTCCATCTGTTCCAAAAAACTACCCTTCAACTCCTGTTATGGAATGTGTTAATTTAAGCATCATAATTTCCACAGTTGTAGATAATTTTTTTGAGGGAAATTTGAGACCTACATTAGAATTCATAGCAATTAATACAAACAGATTAATATTGATATCAAAATTTAACAAAATCCGTATCAATTTGCATTAGGAAACAACAAGTGTGACATCAGAAATCAATATGTAACAGATAATTAAACCATCAATCAATCGACAAAATAAATAAAGTGCTGATTTACCATTCAACAACGCTTGAAACATGGATTGCCCAAGTGGGCAATGAGAGAGCATTGGGAGGTTCCACAAGTTGCAGGGACGAACCCACCAACGATGGCAACTCAGCAGCTCCCACAAAAAGAGGTGTTGTAAATGTTAGGGCAAACCCAGCTCCCATTAGAGCTGCAATTGCTTTCTTGTTATGAAACTTGCTGGAAATTAGGATCTTTCTTGTGATCTTGGTATGATGGGTGTTAGGGTTACAAGATTTGGGGTTTAGGGTTTTTTGGGTATTTTGTGGACAGAAAAATAGGGGGTTTGAAGAAGATAGCAATGTTGGAAGAATTGCCATGCTAGAGATGATGGAGTTTAGGGGATTTGATAAAAGAGTTTAGGTCCAGATAGCAGGTTATTTGGTAGCAAAACAACCAACCATTTTTGCATATGCAACTCTGTTCTTTCTTTTTTCCAATTTTATTAAAAGTAATATTATTTTAATTAAACATTCAAAAATCAGTTGCAACTGCATACAAAACATACATTAAACCCAGCATCTTGTTTTATATACACATATTTTTTTTTTACTTTCATATTATTTGAATTAGAATGAGATTATTTTAGACATATTTAATCTTTAATTTTGATATCTATTTAAAATCAGATTCAGACTGTTAATTGAATACGTATTTGCATATGTTTATATCTGATTCAATTAACATCTATTAATAAATAGACCTTGTTGTCATATTTTGTGGTTTAAAATATACATCAAGAAATTGAAATTGAATTAAAACTTATTTATTGACTCTAGTACAACAAGCATCATCTATATGAATGATGATGGCCAAAAAGAACCATGACTAAAGAGTCTAATATAGAAAAACTATAAATTAAACTTGAAGAATCCAAAAACATGAACCAGAATCGTGATCCCAGTAACATGAATACGGAAACATGAACCCAGATTTAAGAACATGAACCAAAAACATGAAGATGAATTCGGAAACATGAACCAAAAATATAAAGATGAATCCGAAAACATGAACCAGAAACATAAAGATGGATTCAGAAACATGAACCCATAATCTCTTTTACCATGAATGTATAAACATGAACCCAGATTTACGTTGATGAACCAACGCAGAAACATGAACCCATATGTACGAACATGAATCAGAAACATGAAGACGAATATGGAAACATTAACCAAAACACATGAACCCGGATTTTCTTTTCACCATGAACGCAGAAACATGAATCCAGATTTACGTTGGTGAATTAATGCAGACACATGAACCCATATTTACATGGTCTCTTCTTGACAGTCCTTCAACTTGGCGAACTATAGGGAAATCATTTTCATCCTCTTTGTCAGATAATTTGGTGAACCACAGGGAGTTTAATTCGGGATATGATCCTGCAGATATTATGGATGAAATTAGAACGAAGCTATCTACACTGAGTATTCCCGAATTTCCCCTTTACGCAGTTAGTACTTATTGAAAGTAACTCATAAATTAATTCTATTACATTAATGCCACTGCATGAATAATGTTTGTTGATCAAAATTTTCAGTGGTCTAGATCAATTTGCAAAATTTGTTGGAATTATTGGGTTTGCAATTAAAACCATCCATGTGTGTGTGGTTGGGTTCTGGTGAAAAAGAAAATTATAGTGAGAAGCGTAAGAAGATATCTTCATCTTTGGATCAATCCTAATTGAATGTCAATTCTAATGAGATGCACTCGATCAATTCTCTTCTAAAGCATAATTCATAGGTGGACATGAGATTAAAAGTGATCAAAAGTTTAGATCTCTTTTAATACTTCTCGGCATCATTTTTCTTATCACACGACCATTCGCCCATATATATATATATATATATATATATATATATATATATATAAAAGTTAATTATAGAGTTGGTCCTCTAGTTTGATGTTTGTTACACAAATAGAAAAAGACAAAAAAGATGAAATAGACAAGAATGCCCCTTCTTTTAACAAAGAAGATAAATGGAGTTAACAACCATAAGAATGTTTTCTAAACTTATCAAAGTTTAGATCCGATTTTCAAACATTTCACTAAATCTTAGCTACCAATATTAGAGTTAGAGGTGATCATTTACGGGTTTGGCCGGGTCCGGGTCGGGCCTAACTTTTTTTTTTTTTTTTTTGTCTAACGAGCCTAATATTGTAAATCAAAACCCTTTTTTCCGGGCTTAACAACTTGTCATTGTCCACCCTATAAATGGGTCGAGTTTGCCCACGGGCTAACAGGCCCAAAAGTGTAACTCTTATAAATCTATAAGCTTGATCAGTAACGATTAATTAACAAATGTGAAACCAAAAAATAAAGAAAAAACATTGTTGCAATTAAAATTTTAAGCAAGTAAGTGACACATGGATCTCATCAAGTGGAGAAATAAATGAAAAACAAAATTAAGAGTTAAACCACCTCTTAATGGAATCATTAAGAGGTAAACAAACAACCCCTTGGCTTTTTGGGTTCTCAAGAATAACCAAAGATCTCATCCTATAACTTTAATAATTTAATTTTAGAATATGTTGATATAACTTTAATTAATGATAAAAAATATTAATTATAAAATATAAGCGGGCTAGACGATCCTGTCCATATCTATTTTTATATTGTCCATGTTTGTCTGTTAATTTTAGCGAACAAACCCGAACCCGCCTATTTTCTTGATAATGATTGTCCAAACCCGTATTTCTAGCAAGCCGAATAAATCGGGTCTAACAGGTCGTCCCACTAATAAACACCTCTAATTAGAATTTAATCTTAGTAAAAATAAAGGAATGGATTGCTATAAATATGTGTTAAAATGTATATATAAATAGCATTTAATGTTAAAGTTATTTATTTGTCAAGGTTTTTAAATGGAATGAGTTGAGTTAGGTAGGTGATTGAGTGACCTTCCAACTCTTAACTTACCTTACACTTCCACAAAAAGAATAAGTTACTCATTTATATATAAGGTTAGGTTCACATGAGACTAAAGGTTTTTTGTGAGACCCGTAAGACCAATTTATGTTCATTGATCAACTTTATAAGTTAATGATCTAATGGTCTAAATTGCACGGTGACAATTTTGTGATTATTAAGAAGTCTCGTGACGTTTATTAATGTTTAGATTGTCAGATTGTAGATCTAATCTAAGGGTTAAGAATTGATCTTACGGGTCTCACAAAAAACTATTGATCTCACATGATGCCAAATTTATATATAAGCGAAAATAATAATCTAATTATTGTTTGAACATGAATGTGTAATTAAAAACCTAACATGTACCAAATGTGTGCCTCTTTTTAGACATTATTAAACCTAACATGTCTCACATCTGTGTAATGTATCTTAGATATGTCCAAGAATGTCTTGTATTGCTTTTGCCCTCCTCATAACTCGTTATCCCACACTCCATGTGACTTTTCATCTTTTTCCTTTTTATTGTTATTCCAATCGATATTTCACAACATACCTATAATCATATTCAGATGGATGCAATATTTTTTTTTTATTATGATTCTCATTTTTATAATATCTTCGTCCTAAGACTTTATAAAAAGAGAGAAAAATAGTATTTTAATTTTTTTGAAATGAGGTCAAGATCGTAACCAAAACATATTGGATTGTCGTTTAACTGAAAGAAGATCAATACAAGATAAGGTCAAATCGTAGTCTGACAAATACTACTTCCCGCAAACCGAAATTGGAGTGCAAACTTATCCAACAAATTTGACTCACTAACTCTAGCATCTCTTATCCTGGTATGAGAACATGTTTAATATTACAGACAAAGTAACTTCTAAAGTACTATTTTATTAGTACATACTTCCTTTACTGTTCCATATGTATACCGAAGGATGGGTTGAGTTAACAACATCTACGTCAACTTCAAATGCTGAAATGAGGAGTATAAACATGTATTGATCAACAAATCAGATAAAGACACACGTTAAAGTTAGACAACAACATTTAATGCATTAGTGGTTATAAAATGTCGTCATTCTCACTTGTTGCAACTCACCCATTTTGAAAGGAATTCTGAGTGATAGCTTCTTAGGCAACATCAACGTTAACCGTTTGAAGAACTATCTTAGTACTTTCGGATTTGAAAGAGTACATTATTTTCTCACTTTTCAGTTGTTAGCAAATTTTCACCAGTCAAATTGTTTAGGATCATGTCTTACCTTCCTAGTATCCACAACAAATTTATAATTATTTGTTTTCAATAAACATATAGAATTAAAAAGTAAAAAAATTGTTGTGTTTGTATTTAATCCCCTTCTATAAACACACCTTGTACTATTCATTGCATTTTAGGACCAATAGTTATGATGAGATGGGTAAGAAGTGATCTTTATCTCTGGATCAATCATAATTGAATATCAATATTAATGCGGTGCGCTAAGATGCATCAGATCAATTCTTGTGATAAGCGCAATTATAAGGTATGGGTAAAATTAAAAATGATCAAGAGTTTAGATCTCTTCTTATGTTTCTCACCTTAATTTCTATTCTCACACGGTCCTTCATCTAAATAAATAAATGATGAAATTGGTAAATAATATTAAAATATTTTTTTGATATAAACAAAATATGATCTACATTGAGATATATTAGAAAAATTAAAAATTTCGAAAAATTAATAACATTTCACATTGTTGAATGATTAAGAGGCTGTTATTAACGTTTATCTGGGTAATTGTTTATTGGTAAAATTCAATACTATTATTTACTGGGTAGGATTTTAGTCCACCAAAATGGTATTGTATGCAAAAATTTACCCGTTAAATGCTAACCGTGGTAAGAGTGGTCGCCTTCATTCATCGGGTAAGACTTTCAATCCTTCCATTTTATTTTTACGGATAAAATTATTGGTCTTTGTCATATACATCCGGTAAGGTAACGTGACATGATAAACGCTTATCTAGATAAGTATTTAATAACGAGTCTTAGGTTTATGGACATTTTTTAATAGATAAATTTCTGCATTTATTCATATAAAATATATTCATGTACTTAATTGCTTAAATATGAATGTAGGAGAGGGTTAGATTTTAAAATGATGAATGTAGTTCGGTTTCAGTAAATATAAGAATTTAATTTTTGAAGAAAAATCGATCCCAAACTAATAAATATTCAATGAAAATTTCCAGAAAGTATTTATCACAAGAGATGAGTTGTGTTGTCAAAATCATGTATGCTTGGCAGCTCATCTGGTACGCGTCGACTGTTAGATCACCCACTCATATATACTTGGCGGCGTCACAGACCGTCACTCTACATTCCCTCCACTAAAAGCATGAACTTCAGCGTTTTATATGCTATGCTATCTTTACTTCTTTTTCAATTTATTTATTTACTTTTTAGTTCAATGTTTTGGTTTCTAATATTTTTCTTTAAGCTATCTCTTGGTTTTTCAGTTTAAAGTTCTGATCATATTATAAAATAAAATAAAAGTAAAATTATAAATATTAAATTAATTAATTTAATGGTTGATAAATTAATTCAACTATTTTTTAATTTTTTTAAGATTTTCTTCTAACCCTTCCTACATATGTAATTAATAGGTGCCATTGTTTATATCCTAATTATTCAACAATGATTTCAGCCAATCATTAACGACTTTGATGGAATCCGTCTATTTATTTATCTAAAACTTTGGTTTCTTTGTTTTATTAAACTATTTATCAATTCAATTGTTTAAATACTTTATTTTTTGAAATTCAACATATATTATAAAAATTAAAAAGGAATAATACAAAGAAGAAAAACCCATAATTTTTGTTTAAATAAATTTTATGTTTTTTTAATACAAATTTTAAATTATTAAAAAAAATAATAGACGTTAGATCATATTATATCATTTATTTTTCCAACGGCTATTATTTTATTCTCTTATGGTTGAAGAAGGCGATTGCAAGTATTTTCTTCTTCTTCTTCTAAGCACATCCAAATCTTGTGTTGCTCCTCTTGTTTTTTTGTGTTTTTTTATGTACGATTTTTGCATAAAGTTATCCCTTACACATTTGTTACATATAAATAGTTATTGGTATCAACAAAGTGCATAAAATGCAAAACTTGATCAAAATTATAAATTAATATATCGGCATTTTATAGCATATGATATGTGTATAAATATAATAAAACTCTCATATCCGATCCAAAGGACACACATTAATTTTGGGATATGCAATAATATCGTATTTAGGACGTTTTGTGGGTTGAATTTTATTCATTTATCTTTAAGGGTAAATTTAGATGGTGGCTTGATTTTAAAACGATATTTCGTGATCGAATCTCATATTGGAAACAGTGGGTTTTGTGAATATCTTTGACCTTAAATGCTTTTTTTAACAACGAATTGTTGGGTCGAAGGAGAAGCTCTTCAGGTTCTATTGTTTTTATATGTATGAGATAAACATTTTTGATTCACTAGACATTAAGCCTAACACTTTTTGCGTACGGAGCTTGTAGAGGTTCCGACAAGATGTAGAGGTTCCGACAGGATGTCTTAGGGGCGTCATCCGGTTTTGAAAATAGTAGATTTAGTGGTGTTAGTAACACTTGGTTTATTTTGATTTCGTTTGAGGATTAGATAATCTGTTTAGAACTCTGATACGTATCTTGTTCTCCTTTCGGATAAACTTTATGTAGTCTTTATACTAAAACTATTGAAGGAGCTTTAAATGTCTAAATTTTCTGCTATTTTTTTCTTAAATTTAAGGGTGTTACAAATGATAATCTTTCAATCTGTTATATTAACTTCAAATGATAGACTAATATCAAATAATATGTATAGATATAATAAAAGTCTTATCCAATTTGAAGGACATTTATTATTTTGTATCTTTGTAAACGCTCATTTACTTTGTATTAGCCATGATTAAACCCTTGAATTATGTGAAGGCCTGACAAGGACGTTAGAAATATAAGTGAAAGAGTTTGTGACAACCCATCCTATATGGATAGAAAAATAGATTATTGAGTTCATCATAAAAAGTTATGTGTTTTTAACTTCTACAATTAATTTAAGTTGAATTAGAAGTTATTTAAGAGGTGGGTTGGTCAATTCATTTTTTCCGTTGGAGAGGTACTTTCACATACCTTCTGGTCTCAGTCATTGACTTTGGCCTGTGTAAGTCTAAATATGTTACCTATAAAAGTATAAGATCGAGCGACGAAGTTGGTTAGCATTTATCCTATAACCACTACATGCTCCATAGGAAATCCCATGGATAGAGTACCCTTCTTGTTCTCCGAAGGTCAACTAATGCTTATTAAACATGTTCTAGTCTTTCGATTCTCAATAAGGCTCGCGCTAGGCACTCACGTTTTTTTGGCTTCAATAAGCAACCGGGTGACGGGCGAATTCCAGAGGTTTGCTTTAGGTTTGGGGTATTACATCAACTATGTGTATTGCAACTGACATCTAATGAAATTCACATATTTTTTTTAAATCATAAGTGTTAGCACTTGGCACAATAAGACCATAGTAGGAAAAAAATGAGATATCCTTGAACATCAAAATTTATACAGATAAATGAGTGAGCAATTAAGTAATCATCTACATTAATCCAAATCAATAACATAACTCAGGAAAAAGATTTATACCAAATAATTATACAAATAAATAACGATTTATAACATTCAATCACACAAAAATTGATCAATAATCATGTACCCCGGTGATGGTGAATCAATTTATGTGAATTTGACGTTGATCATGGGTGTCGATAAACAATGCAAAACTAGTGAAGGTTTAATCAGTAAGTCAAAAACACTCACACGGGTAGGTGGATAAGCCATCTACGCCATTAAGTTACAAGCATACAACCCCTAAGATGATGTTTGTTTTTTTTTATTTTTATAAATGGTATCAACATCTCTAATTCACTGCTAACCCATGTAGCCTAGTCCCACTGCCACCTAACTATGACGAACAAATCCCTCTCTATGAGAGGTTGGCATGGCCAAAGGCGACACATGTTTGTATTTATTTAAAATTAATTTTTGTACATTGCATTATATTTAAAATTAATTTTTATTAATCAAAAAGTAATCTATGTATGTGTTAAAGATATAATTGGCATAATTTTTTATGTATTGACTTTAGTCGGTAGTTGTTTTTAGTTTTGAAGATTCCTTTGTTATCTTGGTATATTTTTAATTATAATTCAAGTTGGGTGCAATTTTCTTGATTAAATAATTGAAGCCTATATAAAGTATCATCATCATTCACCAAATGCTTATCTTGGCCTCCCAGTCACTCTCTTTTTCATATGCCGACCTCTAAAGATCTCCTTAAACTTTCCCCATAATCTAAATTACTCACCCATCTCTTTGAATCGACGTTTCTTTCACGATTTCTTGCCTTTTCCTTTTGGATTTGGTTCTTCAATTTCATCCCTTCATCTGTTTTTCAGACAATTCCCTTTTTGTTTCAATTTGATCGGAACAATTTTAACGGCTACTCCCAAAATCTCGAATTGTACGGTTGCTTTTGTTTAATCGACGTGATTTTGATTTGGGTTTGGTGTTATTATGACGTATGAGGACGATGATGTAGTTACCCTTCTGAAGATTGCGATTGAAGATCCCAAGGATGATTATTTGATCTTGAACGAACCGGAGGGGTTGCGCGGCGGTGGCGGCGGTGGCGGTGGTTCCCTGGCGTCTTGTTCGTCGGCGAGGTGTAGTACTAGTGTCGGTGGTGGCTTTTGGTGGTCTATTTGGTGGTGGGCAAAGCTTGTTCTTGTTTTTGTGTTCTTGGCTGTTTTGGGGGTTTGTTTCTTTCTATGGATTGGACCCTTTTTGATGAATAAGGTATGTTGAATTGCATTTATCCCAATTTGATTATTCTATCGACAACTTCTTGTTATTTGATTATTGATACATAAATCACCCACCAACCCAAATTTGCTTTAAATTAAAGAACCCTAATCCATTCTAAGTGGCATTTTTGGTGTTGATATATTTTTTCACAATTAGACTCAACCTTCAAGAAATGCAAACAAAATGAAGCCTTTCATGTTGATCAGTTGATGTGATCATAAGATTTGTTCTATATGAAGCATGGTTTGTGAGTGATTAACTTGAGTATTATCTTACACCAGATCTGACCTCTTTGATTTGATCAAGTATCAAAGAAAGTGGTTCTTGTTGTATGATGGTTGTAGTAGCAAAAGTTTAGTTAAGTTCTTTCTTTTCATTGGGATCATTTTGTTGATTTACATGTATAATTTAGGAAGGATGATTAATGAGTAATTGCTGTCCCCTACATTGCCATTGCTATTTTCTATGGGATTAAGTGCTGTAAGTTTCATGCTATCAACCTGTGATTGAATGGAATCTACCAAAGGACCGAGTGATAAATTATTTCAACTTGAATACACGATCTCTAACCTGTTTCAGGAGGTTATCCCTATTTTGAATTGGGAAACAGAAACTTTCACCCAACCAGCGTTAGCAGTTTTTATATTTGTTTCGGTGGCATTATTCCCCACCATGTTTCTACCATCGACTCCTTCCATGTGGGTGGCGGGAATGAGCTTCGGTTATGGTTATGGATTTCTTCTGATCATCGGAGGAGTCACTATTGGCGCATCAATTCCTTATTTCATTGGTTCCCTATTTTACCACAAAATTCAAGTAAGTATTGATGTAAATCTGAAGCTTTTTTGCTGTTTTTTTGGTGGGGGTGCTAATATAAGCCGAATGCCATATGTTGTTTATTTAGGGGTGGTTAGAAAGGTATCCGAAGAAAGCTTCTATTTTGAAGTTAGCAGGTGAAGGAAACTGGTTTAATCAATTCAGAGCGGTCACGTTGTTGAGAATCTCCCCTTTCCCGTATATGGTGTACAATTTCTGTGCTGTGGCAACCGATGTTAAGTTTGGTCCCTACTTGTTGGGAACGTTGGTGGGAATGGTGCCAGAGATTTTCGTAGCAATATACACGTAAGCTTTCTCTTCCCTTCTCCATTATAATTTAGGAAGATCGATTATAATGGGATTAGCCGATTAGGCAAGATTAATTGTGGGTCAAATGGGTTGTCAAATGAACATTGTGGAAACAAAAAACTCGGTAGTACTACTTTTTTTCAAATTTGTCCATTTTTATATGTTTGTAAGAATGACGATCAATTTGTACCAAAAAGGCAAGTATAATGGTGTGAGAGAAGTTCAAATGAGAACCATAACCAGCTATTTCATTTATTATTCATGATGAATAATCATGAATATTAGGTATTTTCATTGTGAATAATCTTCTGATCTTCATCATGAATATCTATCACCACATTCTTCATGATTAAAGCACGAATAGTTGGTTGACTTCTCAAACTATTTACGGATCTAAACCTGCCCATGATGGTCTGGGAAGTTAATCACTCTATGTGTTTCGCAAGGATGATGATCAATTTGTACCAAAAGGGCAAGTATAATGGTCTGGGGCCTGGGGGAAGCTCAAATGAGAACCATAAATATTTTGAGAAGATGAAAAACCAACTATTTCATTTATTACTCATGATGAATAATCTATTCATTATGAATAATAGTGTGCATCTTTGTAATTCATGATATCATGCATAATTCGTTATGAATATTAGGTGTTTTCAATATGAATAATCTTCATCATGAATATGAATATCCATCATGACATTTTCTCATGCATAAAGCACGAATGGTTGGTTATCAAAATATTTACGGTTCCCATTTGAACCTGCCCTTGATAGTTTGAAAAGTTAATCGCTCTATATATTGTCTTGATTAAAACTGATCTGTTTTGAATGTATCTTATTATTGCAGGGGTATAATGATCCGAACTTTGGCAGATGCTTCAAATGATCAACATTCGCTTTCAGCGCCTCAAATCATCTGTACGGTCGTTGGTTTTCTTTTAACGATTGCTACGACCGTGGTGGTGACGGTTTATGCGAAAAGACGATTGAGCGAGTTGCAGAAGGACGAAGAGCAGCTACTGCTGCAGTAACATCTGCTGCATCCTTGGAAACTGGAGGTTATCTTCTTCAACCTGTGGGGAAGAAGTGTTGTTTGGCAGAGATGATGAAGAGAAACAGCAACTAACAAAAACAAAATGTGGTTCCTCATTGATATAGTTAGTATATAGGAGGTGGTGGTGGTGGTGGTGGTGGAAAGTGGAAGTAAAAATTGGCATTCATTGTTTTTTTTATCCCACTTTTGCCCTTCATAAAAGTGTATATATAATTCAACTGCATATGCTTGAAATGACATGTTTTCATACATGGAAATGGTTACATCTTTTGGGGGTGTTCTAGTCATTTGTGTGCAAATCAAGCAACAAAGCAATTGTAAACCACTTGGGTCGTGGCGTGACATCATGGGATGTAACGGAAATCTCTTTTTTCCTTGGGTTTGATATTGCCAAATATCTTGTGACTATAAAGGTTCATCTGTGATGACTTTAGATTATTTACAGTTGGTTAGTTGGTATGCACAAATTGATCCATAAACTCAAGGATGACCATTTGTGGTCGGCCATGGATTAGTCGGTACGCATAAATTGATCCAGAAACTTATGATTACCAAAAAAAAAAAAAAAATGGGGAAGTTAGCTGTTTTCCCATGTAATAAGGATATGGGCAATTTTGACTTTCTACTTGTAATTTTGCATATATATTTGTAATCATGGGTCATTGATGGACTATTTCAAGCGGAAAGCCTTCAAAGAATTTGAGTCTCCCTACCAATGTTTTAAAAGACGTGTCATAGTGTAAAATTCATCTCAAATAACATTTTAATGAATAATGATAATTATCTCCATAATTATCTTATTAATCAATATAATTAATTATCTTAAATTAGTGCTTTAGGATGGATCTCACAGATTTTATAGTTATCATATGATTATATATATATATATATATATATATATATATGTGGAGGTTCAAACGAGAACAACTCCATTTTACGAAAACGCGAGAACACCCTTATCACATGTGATAATACGCGTGAGGGGACCCTGTGATGTGCAGACAACGTGTTCTACGACTTAGGCCGCGTCAAAGGTTGTCTGCGTCTATGATTTAGCATCATATGTGATGGTCTTGATGGATTATAGTATCATATCAACAACAACCTTATCACATGTGTTAATACTTTTGAGGGGCTTAGTGGTGCAAGGGCGACTTGGCCCGCAACCAAGATCGCATCGAAAATCACCCGCGTCTCTGATTTAGAATCACATGTGTATCATATGTAATAGAATAATAATATCACATGTGATTGTCTATAGTAAAAGAGTGTTCTTGCATTATCGTAAAATGAAGGTGTTCTCGTTTGAACTATTCCATATATATATATATATGTGTGTGTGTGTGTGTGGGGGGGGGGGGGGGGAATGTTCATTTGAGAAATAAATATTTGAGATGTAAAGAAGTGATCATATCTCTTCATTTGGTCAACATTTGCAATCTTGAACATGATGCATCGGATAATTCTCACATGGATATGTGAAAGATAAAGAGTAGTTTCATAACTTTTACAAATATATGTCAAATAAGTTCATATGTGAACGCATGTAATTCATATATGAACCCACATGTTCATATATGAATCAGTTAATTAGTTCATATGTGAATAACAAATGTACACATATGAATCAATTAATTGGTTTACATGAATCATACAGCTTCATATGTGAATTGATTAAAATAGTTAATATTTTAATTACACGAGTTCACATATGAGCATACAGTTCATATATGAATCACATAGATTCATATATGAACTTGTTTGCCGCCTATTTATAAAACCCACAAAATTATCCCCTCTATTTTTTCATAGCCACAATTATTGGCCTATCAAATCCGATCTTAACCATATGAAAGACTAAAATTACTTCTTTACTTCTCAAATATTTACCCCTTCTCAAAATAACATTTGGCTATATATATAAATATATATATAAGTCATGTCTCAAAATACATTATGGCTTCGTTATGACTCCTAAAAAATAAGACTTGACCTGACCTCACCATGACGTCATATAGTGTGCAATAAGCTTCAATTGGATCAAAAGAGATTAACGGCTATCAAAACCTATTTATTTATTAAGAAAAAGAAATTAGAAAAAAGATGCATGGCAATTGGCAAATAATAAAATGGAAAACAAGAAAATTAATGAGGTAGGCAGCTGTGGTCCCTTTCATTTCATGGGCCTCTTGGTACAAGTCTCCTCCCTACACATTTTATTTCTATTTTTACCCTTTTTCATTTATATACATTTATTATGATATGTACTTTTCATCTACAAACGTTCGAAACTGTTAAATACAACGATCGTTTCCTTTAATATATAAAATAAACCTGTTATAATAAAAGGAAACTGGTTCTTTTTAGCATCAGTCAACTTACTAAATAGATGATATAACATTTATTATAATGTTTACTGATATGATGATAATATTATGATATACTATAGATTTGTATAAATAAACTGCCGAAGTAATCTTAAAAGAATTGATACGCATAACTAAAACATATTGTTTTAATTTTAACCAAAGAAGGAAATAGTATTGTTTTAATTTTAACCAAAGAAGGAAATAGTTAAAGGGTCTTTGATTTAAGTATCTAACGATATTTGAGTCTTTTTTTTTTTGAAGTATATAATATTCATATACGGCAAATGTAACAAATAAACTCACATACCCTCCTCACCTTTGTTTGGTGAGGTTTGAACCACTGACCCCTTAGAAGGCCAAAGATTACGATATTTGAGTCTTTTGAGCATATATATTGTAGTTTTTGAGCACATTTGCAACCTTTATGGGAAAAAAGACATCAGAAATTTTAGTATAAAAAGAAAATTCAAAATTAAAAACTTACAATTTTATTTATGGGACATATATAAGATTTTTATTGGTTAAATGAGCAGTTAGGTATTATTAGTACTACTTTTTACATGGTTGGAAATTATAAAGTGAGGATAGATGAGGGACTGTTTCTGGAATTATATATTTTCTCAGGGTACTGATTTTGAAAATTAAGTGTGGAACGTTTGATTTGCTTGTCTATGTTGAGACGGAGTCAAAATAGAAACGAAATAAAGCCAACCAAAATTGCTTCAATATTTGGCATTTTCTATGACAACAATCCAATTGCATCTCTGGAACTCGTTATAAAGTATGTTTAATGGAGCCTACAGAGACTCATGTGTCTCGATCCTCTCGATACAATGTTGCGATCGATCAATTTTGATTCATTTCGATTATTTCATGTGTTGTTTTGATGGATTTCAATGAATTCGGATGCGTTCGATAAGATCTTGATTCGTTTGGTTCATTATAATATTATTAAAATCATTTTCCGCTAACCTTTCTTATATTTCTCACTCCAGAAAAAAAAAATTAGAACCCCTAAACCCCCTGATAAGCGTTTCATACATTGACGAAGATTATGACATTGATATGGGTTCTAATTGTTGGACCTTTTTTTTTATGAAAAGAGGCATTATAGAGCCAAATTTCACTCGAAAATGAATCAGTCAGCAATGATGAATAAGACCAATTCTTTGAATCAACAAGCCAAGAGAAAAACGTAGGTAGTGAGCCACATCTGTTCGATTATCACTACCATCTAAAATGACATCATGTTATATTCTAACAGGTAGTTGTGACTAGGAAACAAAAAACCAAGAAAAAGTATAAAAAACTGCGTTAAAGAAATAGAAAAAGTATACCTCAACAAATAATTTGATTAACCATTAAAAATAAAAACAAAAAGCATACCCCTCACAGTTTTAACCAATCCATTTGAATCTAATCTTAATTTTTTTTTTAACAATCATACCTTCGGATCAACATTTTCAAAGACGGTAAATATATTAAAACAAAAGATAGTACAACACCGACTGCTACTACAAGAAGTAAAAGCAAAAACAGGAGAACAAAAGAAAGATGATGACTAACTAAACAGTAAATAAAACCACAATTATCCTCTTGTGGCCACGGAGGTTCAAATGCGATGACTCCGGGATATCTGCAAAACAGGTGGTCGCCCTGAGATTAGTTAGCTCACATAACGAGTTGGATATCCAGGTTAATAAAAAAAATCAATATAAGAACGGTTGAAACCTTTGGTAAAAACGGAAAGTTATCAAAACAAAATCAACAAGATGTCGAAAATTAAACCGATCCAAAATGCACAAACCTCAATGGGTTTTTTTTTTGGTAATTAACTTATTTTACTTTTATTTAACATGAATCTTGAAAATACATTTGTTGACCATAGAAGTCAAATACTGTTCCTTTTCCCTTGTATTTTTTTGGCAAAAAGGGTGGGGGTGGGGATGGTAATGGTAATGGCAGTATGGTGGTGCTGTGCTGGGTTGGGTTGGTGGATGGAATAAATGCTGCAACTGGTACACACCTTCCACTTAAAAATCATTTGTACTTGTTAATTCTCATGGGTTTTAATTTCTTTAATTTCCATATTTGTTCAATTTAATATCAGAGACCCATCTTAATGACCCTTCAATTTAATATCTCATTCTCATCTTAATTAGCCTTCAATTTAAAGGGCAGCAGAAGATGACCAGAGCATGTGAAGACAACCATTCTTTTGAGGGAAACAAACAATCTCACCATTACTATATGCTCTCAACCTTTAAAGATCACAACCACCGCATCACCACCACTCTTCCTTTCCCTCTTCTTCAAGATCCATCTAGGGTTCTTGGTCTTTGATTTTGATTCATCCAACAACCACCAAGAAGCAGAATCTTCCGGAAATCTGAGTTCTTTTTTCGCTTGTTCTTGAATACCCATTTCAGTTTCTGCAAAATTGAATCAAAAACTAGTACATTAGCACTTGATTCTTGTATTTTTTTTTTGACCGACCCACAAGCTAAATCTTGAAAATTCAAGCCTTTTGCTTCCCATCTTGCTTCCGAAATGCCATTTCCCCATTTCGATTTCGTCAAACTTTAATCAAATTCAGAAATGGTGACACAAAGTAGGAGTCTTGCAGCAATCAACATTTGCACCAGTCATTGAATCAATGAGAAGCTTATTACAACAATGCTGCTACTTCACCGCCAGTTTTCTCTTGCTGGTTGCATTTCAGTCGCGGTTGACTATCAATCAGGTGACTGCAGCCACCTCCGAGAAAGAGATATTGCTTCAATTCAAAGGTAACATCACAAGTGACCCTTACAATAGTTTGATTTCATGGGATTCTAGTACAGATCAATGTAGAGATTACAGTGGTGTGTTTTGTGATTCTTTTGGGAATGTATATAAGATTGTGCTATGGAACACTAGTTTAGGTGGTGTGTTGTCGCCGGCGTTATCTGAGTTGAAATCCTTAAGGATTCTGACCCTCTTTGGGAACAGATTCACCGGAAACATACCACCGGAGTTTCAAGAACTCACCACTTTATGGAAGATCAATGTCAGCTCCAATGCCTTATTTGGGCCAATCCCTGAGTTTTTAGGGGATTTACCCAACATCCGATTTCTTGATTTGTCCAAAAATGGATTTGAAGGACAGATTCCATCATCTTTGTTTAGGTTTTGTGAAAAAGTTAAATTCATTTCACTCTCCCGAAACAATCTCACGGGCTCGATTCCTGCCTTCATCAGCAATTGCTTGAATCTTGAGGGGTTTGATGTATCATTCAACAGTTTGAATGGTGGATTCCCTTCAGAAGTTTGTGAAATCCCAGGCCTAGTTTACTTGTCTTTGAGGAACAATCTGTTAACTGGAAGTGTTGAAGAACAGGTCTCAAGATGTCAAAGGTTGGAACTTTTGGATCTTGGCAGCAATCTTTTCACTGGGATTGCACCTTTTCGTGTTCTTGAATCATCGAATCTGAGCTATTTCAATGTTTCTTATAACGCATTCGAAGGACAGATTCCTGTAACTCAAAGTTGTAGTGAAAAGTTAGAGGTTTTTGATGTTGCTGGCAACGGTTTTCAAGGAGAGATCCCGATGAGCATTGTTTCACAATGCAGTGGCTTGAAGGTTTTAGACATTGGGTATAACAGATTAAATGGTGAAATCCCAGTTGAGATTTCAAAGTTAAAAAGACTTACTGTGATTAAATTGGGAAATAACTCAATAAATGGCGAAATCCCGGAAGAATTTGGCACGATCGAGCTTCTCCAAGTTCTTGATCTCCATAACCTCGATCTTGAGGGCGGAATTCCAGATACCTTGAGCAATTGCAGGTTCCTTCTAGAACTGTAAGTCCAGTTATACCCTATGCTTTCTTTGTTGTAATCTAATCTGTTGGAAGTTGCGATGAAAAAACCATAATCTCGTTACATTTGCAGGGATGTTTCAGGAAATTCTTTACAGGGACAAATCCCGGAAACACTTTACAACATGTCCTACCTTAGAATTCTTGATCTTCACAAAAACAACCTTAACGGAATCATACCGCCAACTCTAGGAAATCTCTCTAGAATCCGGACATTAGATCTGTCTGAAAATTCGTTATCCGGGTCAATCCCATCTTCTTTAACGAATCTGTCAAATTTGAATCATTTCAATGTCTCCTACAATAGCCTAGCGGGTCCGATCCCTTCATTTTCATTGCAAAATTTCGATTCCTCGGCCTTTTCTCATAATCCAGGACTCTGTGGAGCCCCGTTGGATCAATCTTGCTCTGGCGATTCGACAAATTCTAAATCAAGAAGGCCAAAATTAAGCGTTTCCACCATCGTTGCCATTGTTGCTGCTTCATTGATCTTGACTGGAGTTTGTCTCATAACCATCATGAACATGAAAGCTCGAAGAAGAAGGAGAAGAAGAGAAGATGAGACGATGATCATTGAGAGCACACCATTGGCATCATCAGATTCTAATCTCATCATTGGAAAATTGGTTCTTTTTAGCAAAACTTTGCCATCGAAATATGAAGATTGGGAGGCGGGGACTAAAGCTTTACTCAACAAAGATTGCTTGATTGGCGCGGGATTGATCGGAACTGTATACAGAGCAGATTTCGAAGGTGGGATTTCCATTGCGGTTAAAAAGATTAAAACTTTAGGAAGAATCAAGAACCAAGAAGAATTCGAGCAAGAAATCGGACGGTTGGGGACTCTTCGACACCCGAATCTTGTAACTTTTCAAGGGTATTACTGGTCATCTAGTATGCAGTTGATCTTAACCGATTTTGCCTCCAACGGAAACCTCTACGATAATCTACATGGGGTTGGTTATCCCGGGACTAGCTCCGGTGCTGGAAACCGCCAGTTAACTTGGCCACGGAGGTTTCAGATTGCTCTAGGGATGGCTAGGGCGTTATCGTATCTTCATCATGACTGTAAACCTCAGATTCTTCATCTCAATCTGAAATCAACTAACATTTTGTTGGATGAGAATTACGAACCGAAACTTTCAGATTATGGGTTAGTCAAGTTGCTGCCTTTGCTCGATAGTTACGGTTTAACCAGATTCCACAATGCGGTTGGATACGTTGCACCCGAGTTGGCTCAGAGTATGAGATTGAGTGACAAATGTGACGTGTATAGTTTTGGTGTGATCTTGTTGGAAGTGGTTACAGGGCGGAAGCCGGTGGAAAGCCTTGGCGGACATGAGGTGGTTGTTTTATGCGAATATGTTCGGAGTTTGATCGATAGGGGACAAGCCACGGATTGTTTTGACAGAAGTTTGAATGGTTTTGTGGAGAATGAATTGATTCAAGTAATGAAGTTGGGATTGATTTGCACCTCTGAATCGGCTTTGAGGAGACCGAGCATGGCCGAGGTTGTTCAGGTTCTCGAGTCCATACGGTCGGGATCGGAATCGGAATCATAATCGATGGTTGGGCATGCATAGAAGGTTGTGATGAGTTGATTTAGAAGAAGAAGAAACATTCTTTTGTATTCACTTTGTGATTAACATTATTGATTGTTTGTTGCATTTGCCATCAATAAGATTCTTTAATTATTGTTTAGGGAAAAACAAACCAAACATACCCAGTAAATCTCATTCCGACCTGGACTCTACTTTAAAGAGATCGGTTGTTTCTATAAAGACCTCATACTTGTGCAAAACTGTGAGCAACGTATGGTGAACAAGGATACACGAATAAATCTTTCAAGAATACATGAAACTTTGTTTTTATTAAATAAATAAATCATCGTATATAATAATTATTATAATAATACACATTTAGAGCATGAAAATGAATTTGGTACCTTGAAAAAACGAACTATCTACAACAATAGAATAGAATTTGAGCAGAAATGGTATATGAAAACATGTTGGCTGGCTTCATAGGACTCTCCGAATTCGTTCCATAACTAAAGGAATCTCCTTTTCCTTCAAATTTGTAAAACAAAACCTGAACCATCCTGGTTCTATACAATGGCAACAAGATCCAGGGGTAGCATTAATCTTGCCTACGTTCAACAACTTTTCCCACAATTCAAACTCCCCTTTTTCGCTATACGGACGTATGAATCCGCTCATATCCACCCAACAGTAGAACCCTCGACTGCTTTCCATACACTCGATTCCCAGATTCTTCAAACCGGACACAAACAGATTACGCATTCTTTCAACCCTTTCGCTATTGATCTTGAGGAACTTCCTGATGAATCTTGAATCATTAACCATTGATATAAGTAATCTTTGAGCCAAAGATGATACGGATGAGAATCTCAACAGTTTCTTGGATGCATCCATGACGTTTTGGTTGAAGGAATAAACAACCCCAACTCGGAAACCAGGGAGAGAAAGGTCTTTTGACAGCCCGTAAACAATATGAAGTCTGTTTCTATCGTATTCTTCAGAATTCATGATTTCAGCCATGCTGACGAATTCTTGTTGGCTTTCGTTGCCAGTGGAGCATGCTAGTATCTCGTTGGAGATGATGTGGATGTTTTTCTCGGTAGCAAAGTCTAAAAGTTTGTAAATTGTTTCTCGGTTAAGCAGATTGCCGACTGGATTTGAAGGGTTTGAAATTATGACCCCCTGGACTTTGAGTCCACGTTTTTTCGCCTGGTTGTATGCACGGTGAAGGGCGGTTGTATTTAAGCTGAAATTGTCTGAACTACGACAAGGGACATGTATAATTTCGACTCCAGTTCGCCATTTAATATCCCTATCGAGACTGCAAGATTCGATCTAAATTCATTACACATTCTGTATAAACATATAGTACCAAAGATAAGATACACACTTTCAGTTATGAGGTCAATCATACTACTTTCAAGATTCAAAATTGGAAAGGGTTTTGTTACAAAGCTAAAAAAGATAAATTTCGTAATTTATAGCATTTCTTATCGAGTTTAATGGGATAATTGGAAAATTCTTGAAACTTACACGACTCCATATCATCATGAAGTTGAAAAGTTGTATGCTTGACTTCAAAAAGTCAACCTGTATGCCATTCTTTGGAACAGATGGAGTAGTATTAATATAGTACATTATAATTTCATTTAAGAGTCATAAATATTTTGAGAACCATCATAACCAACTATTCATAAAGAATATCATGAATGAATATGCATGATATTCATGATGAATAATATATGTATATTCATCATGAATAGTTGATTCTCATGGTTCTTAAAACATTTATGGTTCCTAATGAGCTTTCCCTACAATTAACATTTCTCTTTGTTTTACGGTCAGATCATGGCTATATCAAGAAATGGACTTACTCCGGAAAATACGGAGAGGGAACAAGAAATGCATTTCCGGAGTCAGCAAGGCAAAAAGCGAGCATTTCAACAGCAGGCGTTGCTCCAGAAGTTAAAAATATCTGTGACGGGTCAAATAACACGCGTCCTTCCATAGCCTGGGACATGAATCCGGCAACTGCCTGCCATACTAGCGTAATCAGAAAAGAAAACCAAGTAACTCTTAAAACTACCAGCAATCTTTATCTTTTCACATGAAGCATATATTAATTTGAATCAATGTCAAACATAATGAAGCAATTAACTCAATGCTTGTAGATTACTGAAGCAATTAACACATTGCTTCTAGATGGGATGTTGAAAAGATAAAACTAAGTGACACGATAACCAAAATCAAATCTCATTATAGTACTTGAATGATGATGATCAGGCATGAATGATTCGAATGTAAGTTTGTTGTTTTTAACTCTTTTGAAGTGATCTCAACTAAAGAAAACCATTATCAATCTAGTAAGCAATCGAGAATTAGAATGAAATTACCATTTTGAGTTCTGATAATCCATCGAATGGATGATAAGTAGTGATCCCATTCATTCGTAAATCTTGACCAAAGATCAAACAGTTGGTGTGCTCCACTAGCCAATCTTGAACCAAATCCAAGGACAACTGTATCAAAAGGAGACAAAATGTTGTCTTGCTAAGTTAACGAATTCATCCACACATTCATCAGATGAAGACAAACTCATTTCATTTTCACACACATACGTCCCACTGAATTCTTTATCACAGTATGTTTAATTAATTATCATTAAGAATGCATATATATTAGCCATAATCACGCACTTAAACATTCAATAATCCTATTGAATTATGGAAGATTACGGGAAACCTACCTTGTTTTCATCCAATCCGAGCTGAATTATCCCATCTGAATTACTTGACTCATCATACGGATCCTCAGAAGCCCTTTTCAATCCAACGTAGTGCGGAGAATCAGGTTGTTTGATTACAGAATTGGCTCTAGAAGAAACTTGAGCTTGACCGTTTGTACCACGTGGGGACCAAATCGACCTTATTGAATGAACCCTTTCCAAAGGAGGAGAAATCTCCGGCAGTGGCGGCGGTGTTGGAGTGACAGGATCGTCGTCGGAGCGACTTTTACCCTTTAGATAGAGTTGGAAGAAGTAGAAGAGAGCACAGGGGATGATTGAACCTAGAACTAAGCCACCTCCGCCTTGTACTACACCTTGTAAGGGTACTATGACCCTCATGTCCGTCGTAACTCCGGTGGCGCCAGCGGTGGTTTCTTGTAGATTACTGATAGAAGTTTGTTCGGAATTTTGTTTCATCGTCCGAGCATGGTGGGTGGTGGTGGACGACGGAGTGTACAAAGGGCGTGTCGGAAAAAAGCCCCTCTCTCTGAGTGTTTTTATAATTTCTTTATTTTTGTTAAACACTTGAATTTCGATGATTTTTGCGCCATCGTTACGGCCAAGGGGGGAACCGGGGAAGGAAAAGAAATCAAATCATTTATCGTTTAAAAATGAATAATTAATATATATATATATATATATATATAGAGAGAGAGAGAGAGAGAGAGAGAGAGAGAGAGAGGGGATGGTTCATTTATGTAGTGGTAAGTAGTCTTTAATCTAGTCAATATTTACGGTTTTGACTGCGAAATAGTGGGTAATTATTTGCATGGTATGCGGAAGATAGATAACTAGTTTTGTAATTTCTACAAATAGGCTGCAAAACAAATGAATATGTAAACTTGTGTGATTCACATATGAACTCGTACGATTCATATATGAATTAATTAACTGATTCACATATTAATTAATTATAACTGATTCACGTATGAAGTACGGGTTCACATACGCGCTTATGGATTTACATATGCACTTGTTACAAAACTACCCTTCTAATTTTCGCTTTATCAGTCAAAGACGCAATTCTTGTCCAATCTTGACTGTATAAAGGGTTAGGATTCCTTTTTTATTTCTTAAATACCTACCACTTCTTTATATATATATATATATATATATATATATATATATTGGGGCCTAATCAAATGAGAACTAATTAGTTTGTGGTAACTGTGAGAACCAATATTAACCACAAATCAATAGATAAATTAGGAAATTTACAATTTTGGCAATTTTGAATTAAAATATTAATGCAAGGATATTTTTGGTATTTTAAAACTTTCCTCCCTCCTCTCTTCTCTCTCCGGCCACCGTCCTCCGGCCACCGTCCTCCGGTGATACTACAATGGTATCACAATGCATCATATATGTGTTTGGGTATCACATTGATGTCGTTTTGTATGGTCGATCGAAGATGTAACACAGTGGTATCACTATGCATCTTATATATGATTAGGTATCACAATGTATCTTTTGTTTAACAGAGTAAATATTTTTAGGTATCACAGTGGTATCACCGGAGGACAGTGGCCAGAGGCCGGAGAACGGTTGCCGGAGAGAGAAGAGAGGAGAGAAGAGAGTTTTAAAATACCAAAAATATYYTTGHATTAAGATTTTAATTTAAAATTACCAAATTTATAAATTTCCTAATTTATCTATTGATTTGTGGTTAATATTGGTTCTCACAGTTACCACAAACAACTCAGTTCTCCCTTGAATAGGCCCCTATATATATATATATATATATATATATATATATATAAACGATCAAATACAAACCACTTAATTTGTATAAACAGTACAAACCTCATTCAACCAATCATAATTTTTCATTTTGTTTATTTTTTTTGTAATTATGAGAGGTTGATTAATCATTTTTATTGTGGAAGGTGTTAATCATTGATATTATCATCTTCATTATCTTAATTTTAGATAAATACATAAAACAATTTCATTAAAATTTAATTAAGTATTATATGAAATAATTTCATAACCATATATGAAACAACTTAATCAAAAAAAGTATTATATGAAACAATTTCACAAGATTAAACAATTTCATTAAAAAAATTCATAAGATTAAACAATAAAATCAACGAATGAGGGTGATTTGCACGGTTTGTACAAATTGGATGGTTTGCATTTGACCCAAAAAAACACAATATTGTTTTAATAAACAAGGGTTAAGGAAACTATTAGAACGTGCATAGAGAAAGTAACATGACATGGTAAAATAATATAATGAAATCTGATACAAGTTAAAAATGTTGAATCCTCATGTATCATTTTAGGAAAACACAGTTTTCATAATTTTATGGTCAATGATTTGTTGTATTTGATGGGATCTTAGTGGGATTTTAGTTTGTAAAGAAAGTTATATATATATATATATATATATATATATATATATATGAGCGTTCAAATAAAAACCACTCAATTTATAAAAATCGTGAAAACTTTATTCAATCAGTCATAATTTTTCATTTTGTTCCTATTTTTGTAATTATGAGAGGTTGATTAACCATTTTTATTGTGAAGAGTGTTAATCATGGATATTATCATCTTCATTATTTTAATTTTAGAGAAATACATGAAACAGTTTCATTAAAATTTCATTAAATATTATATGAAACAATTTCATAACCATATATGAAACAAATTCATCAAAAAAAGTATTATATGAAACAATTTCATAACCATATATGAAACAAATTCATCAAAAAAAGTATTATATGAAACAATTTTACAAGATTAAACAATTTCATAATTTTTTTTTTCATAAGATTAAACAATGAAATCGACGTATAAGGGTGGTTTGTACGGTTTTTACAAATAAGGGTGGTTTTCATTTATCGCTCTTATATATATATATATATATATATATATATATATATTATATATATAAAACACATAATGTTGTTATTATGGAATTGGATATTGGTAATGGTTGAATGGTTAGGATTTTGGGTTGGGTCATCTTTCACCAATCACCACCAACCACAAGTTGTTGTTCTAAGTTCCTGGGAATACAGGCAACTCACATACAACCTTCCAAATATGTATTTTGGAATCTTTCTTCATTTTTATTCTTTTACTTGTTTATATAGACATGACATCATGTAAAAAGAAAAGTTAAGATAAAAAGTATAAAAAGAGATCTGGACTTCTGATCATCTTTAATCTCATATTCACCTATGAATTGCACTTGATACGGGGATTGATCTGGTACATCTTATCCTAACATGTATTAAATGGTGAAAATCTCTTAGTACGCTTCATATCTTAACTCTTATTCTAACTGAAACCCAACATATTCATATAATACATATATATAATTCAATTTTTTTTCGGAGACCACTCGAAGTTGCATATATTAATTAAAAAAAAAAGTTGAAGCCGATAACAGACACACACACACACACACACACATATATATATATATATATATTAGAAGTACATGCATGAATCATGCAAGACTCATAACGCTTATATATTGTTATAAATATATATTAAGACAAAATTAATATAAACGTAACTATGCTTATTTTAGTTTATATTTAATATAACAAATAATCTTTTTCCTTAATCAATGTTTATATTATTTATATGGAAATAATCAAAGGTGAGATGGGTCTCCAAAACCCATACCTCTTGGAGTGAATTACATATCTGGTCCTCGTGGTTATATGAAAATTATGGATTGGTTCCTCCAAACGAAATAATTACAACAATGGTCATATTGGTTTCAATTTTATTATAAGATGTAATACCCGAATTTTAGTATGTTTATTTTCATGCTTTTTATTCGTATTTGTCTTTTAAAATAACTCTTAGATTGACTCTTGGGTTTTTTGTATTTGGGTTCTAACTAATCAAGAAAACCAAATGATTTTATGTAAGTTTCACGCTCGTGGAAAATTTTCACGTCCGGGGACTTAAGGCAGAAAATCTTGAAAGTTGACGGAAAAGCTGAGTGCAGGCGACCTGGTCATGCGACCTTCGGTTGCAGCGCCAAGGTCATGTAAAGGTGCAGCAAGCCTAAAACCGGGATTTTCACCTTTTCCTTCATTGTTTCTTCTGCCAACTCATTCCTACCCTCTTTCACTTCGGTCCAAACACATTTATATCACCAACTCGAAATCTTTAGGAGCATTTGAGCTAGGGTTTGAGTCTTGTGGATTGAAGCTCAAGATCTTCCTCTTCTTCACCATCTTCCTACCATTTTTGACTTGGTTGTAGGGTTTTCCTGAAAATCTATTGTGAGTTCATTGTACCATTTCTAAACTTTTTTACCTGTCAAAATGTCTCATTTTATTCTCCTAGAACATCCTTTTTGGTGTATTTTACATATTTGTGAATTTTGATCATTTTTGGGAGTTTAGGTTTTTACCCGTGTTAAAAGTAAATGTTGTTTTTAAAAGTAAACTCACACACCCTCCTTACATTTGGTGAGATTTGAACCTTTGACCTCCTAGAAGATCAATGACTCACATACCGCTAGGCCAAAGACCCTTTGGTTTAAAAGTAAATGTTTCGAGTTTCATAAAAAGGTTATAAAAGAGCGATACTAATACACATGATATTTGAGGACCTGAATCCTATTATTTGAGTATATTTGAGTTTATTCATCTTTGGGAGTTTTATGTAAAATGATCCTATTTTGGAAAAGAGAAGTTGATAGTACTTGGGGGATGAAATGTTTTATGGTTTTGGAACTTATGAAACCTTATTGACCATATTGCTTGCTCTTGACAAGTATTTGAGGTCAAGAAGCTTGGAATCCCGTTTTGGTTAAATCTTGGTCTTAATGATTTAATGTTGATATTGATGCTGGGAACTATGTGTCTAATCATGGTAGATTATTTTAAAGCAACGTTAGGCTTAGACTATAATGGAATGGATCCACATGCATAATAGTCGGTTTTGATATTGAAATGGGATGGTTTTCCCGTTTTGTAACTAAAAATAGACATTGGGTCATAGGGGGCATTATGGTACGAACTCTTTGAGCCGGATATCGGTCATTGACCATATGGTATAATTTCTAACGAATGAGTATAACTAGGATAATTGGGGGCCTTGAGATATAAATCACGATTGGTTGAACTCAATAGCCATGGATACATAGTGGGACTCTATAACATGGGAATGTGGTCTACTTTTGTGTTCCACCACTATCCTTGAAAATCGAGTCTCTCCTGTCATCATAAGATGTATTTTGGACTTTATAGTCCTTATTATGTGAACTTTGGAGTTTGATCAAGTTAATAAAATGTCATCTCTATTAATTATTTGCATTATTTACAATTTGTTTGAACTTACTAGACGTTAAGCCTAATACTTTTTTTTTTAAATGACATGTATATCATGATCTTTTAGTGATGGGACTTCGAAGGCTTGAGTGGAGTGATTGAATGCCAGTAGAGGCAATTTTTGGGGAAAATGACGATTGTCAGCTTGGCG